TCATTAAATAAAGTGATCTAAAAATAAAAAAAGATTTTTAATTAAAAATTTAGGTTAAATTTAATATTGACGTTAAAATTAAAATTAAAAATGACATCTACTTAACATATTTTTTTGTTGCTATTTTGCTAAATGAGTGCACTTATTTTCTTTTAAGATTAATTGTTTAACTACAAATTCAGTTAAACACTTCAGTATTCTTCCGTAAGTATTTTGAATTGGAGCCAATTGTATGACATTTTTCAGACTCAGAAATGTAAAATTTTCTAAAACCCAAAACGTAAGAGTTATACATACTTTAAAGCTAGTGTGATTTACTCCGAGTATCGAATTACTATAAGTGATAGTGATATTTATCGTTCAAGTTTTTTATTACAGACACGAATCATTTGTATGAATTGGTTTGTGTTTACAATAATAATATCGAATTTTTTACGATAATTCTCAATATCACTAATGTGTGATTCGATACTCAGTGTAAGCCCAATTTTTTAATCCGAATATTAAAATTACGATTTTTATCTACCAAATTAATTTAGTACTTTCTACTTATTCGCTCACTAAGAGACTTGCAATTATGAACTATTTTTGAAAAATGTAGTTAAATATTTAGATTTGTAAGTCTTAATAATATTTCTTAATATTTTTTTTTAATACAATATTCTTACAGCATGTTGATTTTCCATATTTGAAATATTGCAACATAATTATTGTAGTTCAACTTCTATATAATTGAAATAAGAATGTTCGAATAATCAACTTGTTATAAGTAATTGTTGCACCGTTTTCCTGTTTATTTTGCGATTTTTTTTTTTAGAACAGATATTTAATTTATTTCACCAAAATTCTGCTAGAACATTTTTTATATTCTTTGTTTGCCAGCTTCAACTAGAACATATAGCAGTTTTTCCAGCTTTAGCTAGAACATTTTTGATATGATATATTATACCTGGTTATAGCCGGTTTTTACGGATAATTAAAAGTATTCAAGCCAAATATACATATGTACTTGCTAATTTGCGTATTTAAGTATATTATTTTAGATCTTTCCAAGTGTGTTTCCAAGGTTTCAACATCTTAAATCATAATTCATTTTTGTTTTTTTAATTTGTATGCATCATAAATTATAAAATATACTTAAGAAGTTAAGTATATTGAGTGTAAAACAAGAAAGCAATTTTTTAATATGATTTCTAAAAAGAAAAACAATAAAATTATTTTATAAGAAATAAAAAAAAAAATAATTTAAAAAATATAAAAAAAACCTTTTATGATTTGATTTTTTTTCATTTTCAAGTTTTTTTTACCCCTTTTGTTTTTTAGTTTTTAACTTTTCAAAATTAAGAAAAATTAAAAGCCTGTTGATTCTTGTCGGTTTCGAATTCGATTTGTTTTTTTTTTTCTTTTTTTTTCATTATTTTTTAATTTCTACAAGTAAAGTAAGTAAGTTGTTAAATACATGTACAATTTGGTTATTCTTCATGACATGGCATGACCAATCACAAGTAATAATCTATACCAATATAATCAACTTAAAGCTACGTTGTATAAATATATTAAAACTGGATTTATTTTTCGAAATCAAATCAAAATAAAAAGCAAAATAATACAAAATATTGTACACACTTAAGTAAAATAAATTAAAAATTTCCAATCTACCTACATAAACAAATTTTTTTACACTAAATTTTTAGGCCTTATTGTGAATTTCTTATGATTACATACGCCATATACTTGTCATTTATATTTTTGTACATATAAGTAAATTTTCAATTACAAATAAAATAAGTACTTGTATTTGAAAAAATTTAAATGAGTGACTATAGCAAGTATTTTTTAAAATTAAGTAGGCACATAATATTATGGCAGTATTCCGTATTGTAAAATCGAAAAACTTTGATAATGTATGACGTTCCGTATTGTGGTAAAAATTTTTACATTATTAAGAATTTAAAATTCGTTTTCGAAACGCAAAGAAAAGTAAAATCGTGCATCCGGAAAAAATTGCGAATTTTTTTTTTGATTCTGTAATTTTTCAGCTTTTTGTATTGCCTTTGTTGTAGAAAATTAGTAATAATTATAATGTTATGTCAATGTCAAAAAATCAAAATTAATTGCGGTATCCCGCAATTAGAAAAAAAAAAATTTTTGTTTGACAGTGCAATATTGTCATTAATCAATGCAATAAACAAATTTTAAAGCCGCTTTTAAAAATTTTATTTTCGGCAATACTGCATATGTCTACTGCTTAAGCAATTTAATTTAATTTATTGCGAAAAAATTGTGATAAAATTTGTCAGAATGAACTAGTTTTTTTTTTTCAAAAAATATTTACAGGTTTTTGCGTTTAAATTAAATAAAAAATTCCTTACAAGAATCAAAGAAATTTAAATATTCAATTTTATTTATTTAACAGCTGTCTAATACCTTATTTAGAATTAAACTTTAAAAAATATTGTAATTTTAAAACAAATTTAGTTCGTTACTTAAAAAAAAAATTTCATCATAGCAATTTCATTTTAATTACAAAATTATGATTACCTTATTTGAACTGCTAAAACAGAAGAACGCAAAAAAAAAAGAAAAATAAATTAATTTTTCAGAATATTTTAATTGTAATGTATTTAAAAGTGTGTTTGTGTTCAATTAAGTATAACATGTACACTGTATATACTTAATATTTGAGGTGTAAAATATAACCTTATCCCTACTTTATTTATAATTACAGACTGATTAAATATGTATAATAAAATATATATATATATATATATGTTCACATACTTATCACTCTAAGTATTTATTCATTTTTATTTCAATTTTATTTCTTTATTAATTTTATAATTTTTTATTTTCGAGTAATGACAATATACATTTATACTTAAATTTAATATTATTATTGGGTATGAATGTATTAATATTCGATGGAATCACCTTCATAATAATAACTGTCGCTATACTATTTATTTATTTTTTAATATAACTAGTTTAAATTAAGAGAAGAGGAGAAACAAATTTGTATACGTATGTATGTATGTAAGTAAGCAAATATATTTTCAAGAAAAATAAAAATATGTAATGTATTTACATACCTAGCTACAAGAAACACAACACAAGTCAAAACACGAATTACGATTTGGGGAAAGCTCTGTTTTATATTTTTCAGTATTTCTTTTTTTTTTTTTTACAAATTATAAGTATTTACTTACTTGTAAAGCAAGTAAGAATGTATGTAAGTATGTGCGATTTTTTTACCTCTCTCTCCTATTAACCAAGACTTGAATGTCACGTCGACGTGACGTAGTCGATTTTGCATTGTTTTTGTTTTTATTTTTTTCATACTTGTTTACTTTGTACTCTCTATAGAATATTAAAAAGATGTTGGTTGTTTTTCATTTTTTTTTCTTATTATTTTAATATTTTAGCATACGTAAATTATTTTTATTTATTTTATTTGTTTGTTTGTATTATTTTAAATATTATTAAATATTATAATTAGCAAAAAGTAAAAAACATATTTATTATGCATATATACCAATAAATGTATGTATGTATTTACTTATATGTAACACGTATTGGCACGCTACGTAAATATGTAAGTACTAAGTAGGTAGGTACCTACAACTATAACCGATATTCAAGTATTTATCAACTTGATTATGTGCTGTTTTATTTAAAAATTTTAAAGCAAACATCAAACACCAAAAATGATCAGGGATGGGACAATTATATTATATTAATTGGCCGGAGTTCAGAAATGTAAAATTTTTACCAATTTTTACTTACATAAACTGTAAAATTAAAAATGTAAAAATAATTTGACAATAATTTTAAATTTCTGGTCATATGGTAAGTAGATAAAAATGTATAGGTATCTAGTTTGAATTTATCTACTAAACTACTACACTTTTATACTACTGCCATTATTAATTTTGTAATACTTAATACTACTATAAATTCTATTTTAAATTGAAACGTATTATTAATATGCTATGCATTTTTTAGATACAAAATTTACTGGTACCTACTGAAAACCATATAGATTTTACTTTTAAAAATCGAATTATACAGTAATCAAATTACGTAAACGAAAACTCGATGTCACTCACTTTTTAACATAAGTACACACTTATTCGAAACTTATGTTCTTAACAATTTAGCTTTTAAGTTGATTGCCGAATTGTGATAGGAATTCAGTAGCATGCAAATAGTAGGGAAATTTTGAAGTGACAGTATTTTTTTTTTTTAATTTTCAGCTAATATTGTTATAGATGAATTCTTGTACGTACTTATATTATACTTAAGGGTATTCACATCATAGCGACATACAATATACACAGAAAATATACTACACAGTTACTTAAAAATAAAATTAAATTTTTGTTCTACATTAATTATATTAATAATACAAGCTTAGGTACATAAGCATTTTATAAATACAATAAGTATTTTAATCTAAATTTAAAATTATTTTTTAATAATTTTACACGTTAGTAAGAATATGTAAGTACGTAGCACCATATATTTTTTGATATAGCCACGAATATCATACGTACTTACGTACGACCATATTCTGTCTTACGTGTACCATATTCTACGTAATAAATAACAAACTTTTATATATTTTCGATAGTATTTTCTTTTTAAATTAGTAGCGTACCTACATACCTTTCTGTATTTTAGATATATAGGTAGAGAGGTAGATAGGTATAGGATAGGTAGGTACGTAAGAACTAAAAAAAAAAAAAAATGAAAAATTTTTTTTTTTTTTAACATGTATGCAATTACGTTGTACATTTTGTTTCGAGAAAATATAAAAGCAACAATAACAAAAAACAAGAAAAAGAAATATATACCTACATAAGAATGGTTACAATGCCCTGCAGATAATAAAATAAGCAACAAAAGCAGAAAATTTATAAAGTACAAAAGCAAGAAAATTAAGCAAAAAAAAAAAAAAATTATAATATTTTTTTTGTGCTTTCAAAAATTTTTTTTTTTACCTTTTTTCTTTGCAAGATGCAAAAATAGGCCAACATTTTTTCTGTTTTTTTTTTTTAAACCAAAAAAATTTTTTTTTGTATTTTATTTTACTCTTTATACTTATTAAAATATGAGAAAATTAACAAAAAAAATATTTTTTATTTAAATTTCATTTTTAAAAAATTTTTTTTTCTCAGTGTTGTTTTTTTTTTTCAGAAATTTTTTGTATTTTTAAATTTTTTTCTTAAATACATTCAACTTTTTTTTTTTGTAATTTTATTATGATTTTATTTTATTGAAATTTTTTAATTTTTCTCCTCTCTTATACAAAAATTTTAATTTATTTTTTTTTTTGAAACACATTAATTTTTAAAGTGTACGCATTTCTACATACACACAATTCTTTTTTTTTGAAATTTCTTTATGAAAAAATAAAATAAGCAATTATTTTTCAAGAAAACACAGAAAAAAAAAAATAAAATTAAAAAAAAATTGGAAAAAACTTAATTTTTTTTTTTCTTTAATTAATTTTTCACTTTTCACGTTTTTAGTTTATTTTTTTATTTTTAGACTTGTGAGAAATGCGTATGTGTGTTGCTGTTGTTATTTATAAGAAGACCACATAACCACAATGATATTATAAATTATTCACAATAATATGTTGTTATATATGTTAGTATGTATATACATATATAACTACTTATATGTTTAATTATTTTCTTTCTTTAATATTTAAATATATTTACTTATATATTAAATTATATATATATACATATATATGTATATATATTTATATTTACATTCATATTATTTTTATATTATTATATTTTCTTCACTATTGTTGTTGTTGTATTTTTCTTTTATATTTATTTTTTTGTACATTGTACCATTTTTTTTTTCTTTTTTTTTGTATTATTTTACACACATAACAAAAGATTTTTATAAATTTTCATTTAAAAAATTTTTTTTTCAATTTTTCATTTTTTTTTTTTTATTTTTAAAGTTTCTTTTCATTTTTAATTAATTATTAAGTAAGTTTTTCTTTTTTATTTGTAAATTATTTTTGATAAAACACAATCGAAAATAATTAAAATTAAAAAATGAAAAATTGTTTTCAAGTTTTTTTCAATTATAGATATTAATAAAAAAAATTATTAAAAAAAAAAATTCCGTCCAGTCACCAACTACGACCGACCGCCATTTTTTCGTTTCTATTTCTCTCTGGCTCTGTCCAAATGTATATGGTAGCATTGTGGTGGTGGTGTGGTGAAAATAATTTTTAATGAAATTCTATGAAAATATTTTGCGTATATGCCAAAAAAAAATAAATATGTGTGTACATATGTGTATGAAGTGAAGACGACATTTCATATAATATTTTTTCTTTGAATAGGCATTCACAATAGAAACACACCATTAGAAAACTAAATAATGTGACATATTTGCAGAGAACAGAAAATTCACAATTTTAATAATACAAAAAAAAAATTATTTTTATATTGTGAATTTTAGAAAAGTATAATTAAATAATATTAATTATTAATGTTACATATTGAAATTATATTTTATAAATATAAAATTTTTATTTATTTGGTTTTTCAGCAGTAGTTAGAACAAATTTTTGTTTCTTATTTCTACTTGTATGAAATTATTTCAGATGATGAAATTGTGAATTTTTTGTTGGGTTGGTTTTCATATAAATTTATTTATTAACCAATATGTTACGTATGACAAGGCAATTCAGTTGTGGTGAATTTTAAATCGTTTCCTTTGACATTTACCATGTTGCCATAACAATATATGTATTTATTTGTTACAACAAAATTAAAAAATTGTTTTATAAGTGTCTTCAATTAACTTATTTAATAATAAAATATTTTTAAAAGTTGTATAATTTTTTAACAAATTGCTTTAATTTCAAAATGTAACTGAGTTATTTTTTAATCATGTTGTTTCAGAACTAAAAACTAGAAGTTTATTAATTATTAAAATTTATTTAATTTTTTTTTTATAAATTTTCTCTCATTTAACCTAACATAATTTTAAAATTTTAGAAATATAAAAATTTTATTTTATGCCACTTAAAATCATAACATCTATTTGTAAAGAATATTTAAGCGTATTTGTAAACACATAAATTTAAATTTAATGCTAATTGCAATAAGTCTAAACGGCTCTGTTTGGAAGGAATTTATTATTTTTTAACCAGGATAAATATTTTAGTGAAGGTTCAAACCAATTTAGTATTGCTAAAAATTTTAATGGAGAAAGAAGAAAGACAATAAAAATTAAAAAAAAAAAGTTAGGAAAATATCACATAGATGAGGGTGCTGATGTTTTAAATTTAAAGAAAACACTAAGCCATCTGTTGTTTAATTAATGCTTATACGAGTATGTTTTTAGAATATAAAACAATTTTTTACACTAAATGAACTGAAATTACATATTAAAATAAGTTTTTTCTTGCCTGGTTCATTCGAATTTGGTCAAAAAAAAAATAAAATTACAGTTATTTATTTGCGAAATTTAATTTCTTATTTTAAAATCGATAAACTATCAAGCAAACTTTTTTACAACAAGCTTATTTGAGACTAGTTATATAGTATGTACAGCAACATCTAATTTGACAAACTAACAGTTTATTTTTAAATTTCGATTTATGCATTTTAAACTCTTACTATACCCGTACGAACGTATGTTCGAAGGGAATACTAAATTTGAATTACCGTTCGTAACGCTAAAAAATAATGGTCTGAGATATAGACTCAAGTGTATGTTTTTGATCAGCGTCACAAATGATTCACTATAGTACATGCCAGAACCCTATTTAAATTGGGTATGACTAATCGAAGTACGGGTCGGGTATTGCTGCCATACAAATTCAAAATTATTTGACTATAACTTAGAAACTATAAAAGCTTTGGTATTAAAATTTTGCACAATTAAATATACTGATAGGACCAATGTTCTTGATGAGAATTGTTGAAATTATTTGGCTCCTTCTGGTAGCTGCCATACAACTTCAAAAGTTACGTAGCTGTATCTCAGAAACTATAAAAGATGTGTTATTGAAATTTCACACAAGCGAATATATTAGTAGGGCAAATGTATATGATGAGAGTTGTTGAAATTGCTTGGCTCGTTCTGGTAGCTGCCGTACAACTTTAATAGTAAATGGCCATATCTTGGAAAATATTGAAAACACAATACTGAAATTTTACATAAATTAATATGGTAAGGATTGTTAATAGGATAACAAATTCGTACGGGTATCACAGAGTTGACACGGTCAACTCTATCTTTTCTCGTTTTTGAATGAAAATTTTTGAAATTTTATCAATTCTATATTTTTGTCATTTTGATTTTTCATGATTCAAATAATTTTTATATTTTATGATAGTTATATTATACATTATTAAATACCTATAAGAAAAATCACGATATCCTTTACAATATTTGTTCAGGAACGTAAGAATAATGTGGAAAAATTGCATGCCATGTAATGTATAGGTGCATATAACATACATACATACCCATTTTAAGTGTATGTTCGGATATACATACATACTCTAATATTAACCATAAATGAAAACAAAAAAAAAGAACAAATCCAAGTTTGTTCACATAAATTTGAACATAAATAGAAATAAATTCTAATACATATCGGAGCCAAAAATGTGGAAAATCAAATGACTTGTGACAATTAAATCGCATACATGTTAAATTTTTTTTCTTCTTTTTTTTTTTGATTTTATTGCTGAAATATGAGCATCTTTTTGAAAAAACCAAAAAAATAATATTTATTGAAGGTTATATTACAATAAAATTTCAACAATTTTATATTGATTTATAATCGTTTCCACTTTGCAAATACACATATGTATGTGCATATGTATTTTAATAACATACAAGTATGTTTGATGAAAAAAACAGTAAATTCAAAGTTGACCTTTGAAATATGAAACAAAAAATGAAGGCAAGGTTGTTTTATAATGGTTTACTGCCCACACAATTTAAACATAAAAATACATCGACGTACTCGTACATAGAATAGAAGCTAAAAGTTTTGCAAGTTAATATACAGTTTTGCTGTTACCCCAGACTGTTAAATTTTAATGTTAAAAGAATTCCTCTTTTTATTTTAATATATTAAAAATAAAATAAAAATTATAAAATGTTTGTGATTAATTTTAAGAATTATCTATGAGGAGAGTGTCGAATTAACTCCAATCTGTGGTTTGATAGGCACCCGATATATTTCTTCTGCTAAGTCCCGGGAGACTAGAATATCAATTCTATTCTATCTATGATCGGACATGGATGTCTCATTTTAAACATGTACAATCGATTGTAGATAAACTGAGTGCGCAGAGTGATATCATGGAATCTTTTCTAATGGGATTTATGAACGTAGGCCTGTTGTTTTCATTCACTAATTTTTTGCTATATATAAATTGAAGCAGGCACAAACCTCTTTTATTCATATCGCTGTTTCCCCAGACGGTGATGATTGCCGGTGATTAGAGTCACTTCATATTAACAGTTGAACGTTCCTCCTTTCACAGAAGTTCGTTAGTTCTTTCTGGATGGGAGAAGTCTTCCGGGAGTGATCATTCACTATGTAAGGCTCTTGGCGATTTCGAGTCGAACATTAATATATTTAATGAACCAGAACATTCGTAAATGCCCTGGTAAGCAAATTTATTTGGATGCATCTCACAGCCATATCACTTTTTCTGGCTCTTATCTATGGGGTTTGGCCCTTTAAGCAAAGCCTTCTTCGCTTGCTTCTACCGCGAAATTTCCCTCTTTGGGAAATTCTTTTAAAATTTTGTTCATCAAAAAAATTTTTATTTTGATATTTTGTGGGTACGTTCATTTCTCTTTTTTGTTGGTTTAAATTTTTTCCTGTCGAGAAAAAATTAATAAATAATATTAAAACAATAAAAATTCTGATTAAGAACTAACTAAGTGCCCAACATAAAAAAAAGTCGTATGAAATTTGAATTTGCCAATTTTGAAAGTTTAAAAGGCAGGCGTACAGTACGTCGCGTCGTATTTCATTAGATCTTATTAAAATATGCGGTTTTTAAAAATTTTTGACAGAATTGTAGGTCATACGTCCTTATTTAAATTGGACACTTAGTGTATATTTTATACTTACTCACTTTATTCTCATCCATATTGTAAAACTTTTTCAATAAACTAAATAAAATTAATTTTTTAATTCAACAAAAAAATCTAATTGAAAATTCAAGCTCAAATCCAAAAAGTTATTATACCATATTTTTTACTGAATTGTAATAATCACTAAATACATTATTATTTTTGGAATATTAAAAAAAACAACGTCTCGTCTCGTCTTATAATATTGATTTTATAATAATTTTCTAATGAAATTTCCAAAATAAAGTCATTCAATCCAAAAACATACTTAACTATATTATTTTTTTTACTCATTATACACGAAAATATTTTTATTTTTGGTCAATAACCTTAAATTACGTACAATGTGTTTTACAGAATTCTAGCAATGTGTACATGAATGTGAGTAATTTTATTGATTATGTAAATAAAATAAACGTCATAATTTGATTAGTATTAGCCAATAATGAGAATTTTCTATAATTTTAACAAAATTAACTTTTTATGCTAGAAAAAACAAGCAAAAGGTTGCTTCTTTTAAAGGAAATTAAAGACTATAACAGGAGGATTAAAATTTTGTTTTTAAAAAATAATTTAAAATTATACACAAATAATAAACACTGAGTAATAAGGCGATAATAAACTTTTGAGTGTAAATGGAAAGTTTTCCAATATAAAAATAAATAAAGAAGAAATTAACACTCGTGTTACATAATTAAATATTTATAATAGAGACAGAGTGAGAGAGAGAGAGAGAGAGGTTAAAATATCGATATAGAGATATTAATTGCTGGCACGAAGTACATTCATTTATAAAACAAATAATCATTGTAACGGGTGTTTTTATTTTTTTTTATGTTTGGTTTTTAGTGTTTTCACTTTTCATCACTTGACAATGTGATTTGACGTAGTATAATTAGCAAATGTTATTAAGTTTATAATTTACCGCATGGGGGGGGGGGGGGACTATAACCCAAACACCGCTTAATGATATTAATTAAGAACGATTTTCAGTTGACGCTATACAGAACATTTTGGTGGTTTTGATTGGCCGCCGATATTGCCGCAATTATACGAGTATGTCTTTTCATATGG